TGATGGAAGCAACCCCAGGCCTCTAGGGGGCTAGCCAACCCCATTTCTGATGACCTCCCTCCCTGCCCCAGGCCAGATGGCAGAGCCAGGTCTTCAAATCCCTCCAAAAGGCCGGCAGTGAGGGGGCCTGTCTCACCTCTGGGGGCAAGATGTTCCAAAGGGCGGGGGCTACAGCAGAGAAGGGCCGCCTTCTGGACCCTGTTAGTCAGAGTTCTTTTGCTGAGGGGGTCTGGAGCATGCCCTCTCTGTGTGATTGGGTGGGATGGGTTGAAACCGTGGGGGAGAGGCGGTCCCTCAGGTAGCCTGGCCCCATGCCATGTAGGGCTTTAAAGGTGGTAACCAACACCTTGAACTGGACCCGGAAGTAAACCGGTACCCAATGCAGCTCACAGAGCAAAGGTGTTATATGCGTCCTTCTTCAGACCCCAAAAATAGCTCGTGCGGCTGCATTCTGGACCAGCTGAAGCTTCCGGATACTCTTCAAGGGTAGTTATTCAAACAATTATTTTTTCAAAAGATTTAATAAGGTAACTACAATAAGGTAACACCGTCTTTTGGAACATCTCGCCCCCAGAGGTTGGATGGGCCCTGACTCTACTTGTCTTCCGGAAAGTGCTGAAGCCTTGGATTTGCCATCCTACCTGGGCATCCGGCTGTGGTGTGGAGCCTGTGTGATGGTTGTACTGCTTGTGATGTATGGATGGGTGCATTGATTGCAAATGCTGCTGATAATGTTTTTTATGGTTTTTAATTTGGTTTTAATATGGTTTCAAAGTTATTTGGATTGTTATTACATTTTGTTGTGGTTTTAATTTTGTGAGTCACGTACGTGAGATGGCAGCTATATAAACTGAATGAATGAATGAATGAATGAATGAATGAATGAATGAATGAATGAATGAATGAATAAACAGCCTTCTACATCTGTTTTATTACAATGTAATAAACGGAGCATTCCTCTAAAATAAAGAGCATCTGGCATTCAGATGCTTCCTGGCTAATGTATGAACAGATTACATTTGCACTGAGATTAGATTTGGATATAGATTTGTACTTACAGGTGGCCCCTTTTCTCCTGGTGCACCTCTCTCACCCTGTAACAAACATCATTCTGGTTAAGTTGCCTTAATTAGAACTGAATCATAGCTTGTTGGTCTAAAATCAGAACTCCAAACAGTGCTATTTTCATGTCCTATGCACATCAACTTAGAAGACAGAGTTCAATGGGACTAACCCTTAGTTAAATGTATAAGAGATGACAGCTTTAGGTTTAGTTTCTCTTCTTGACCAGATCAGGGAATCGATTTTTTGTAGCAAAATTGGTATTTTTGATTGCCCACCAAAGATAATGCTACAGCACTTTCTAAGTATGTTTCATGAGAACAAAGAACTATGGGTTAGATTCATAGTTACTCATATTCATAGGAACTCACTGAAATTAAAGGGACTTGTTAGTCATGACTAACTTATCAGATCAAATCAAATCTTTATTACGGTTGTAGACTAGCATGATTAACATGACTATTGATTGCAGTGGAAGTATTCTAAGCATGCCAAAGTCATGATCCAATGCGATAAAGACTTAAACTACTTATATACTCTTTAATTTTATTTATTATTAAGCATAATATATACAACTACAATATTTATTCTGAAATCATTCAAATCAGCAAGTTGCACCCTACACTGAGAAGCTCCCTTCAAAATTTAAAAAGATTATAACACATTTATTTACTCACTTTATGGAATTGCCTAATTGAAATAACTCAAGGTAGTGTACAATGGGTTAAAACATCATTAAATAAGGCAAAACAATACAGGACAAATACAATAATAAGAGCATATTGCGTAATACACAAACATCCAAGTTCTTAATGCTTTCCTGAAAGTCAGCAAAAGATATTTGACAGGCAATACATGATAAATCATAGATTAATAAACAGTGACTACTGCATCAAAATACTTTTCTGATGTCTCATATTGCTATTCCAGTAAAACGTTTCCATAAGTTTGTGAGTTAACTTCTGTGTTAGTTAATTCTTTGTAGATTACTGGCATAAATATTGAAAAAAACTGAAATGCAAGGGGAGTGAGAGTACAATGGGATCAAAATAGCCAACCCCTTTATTTGTTAATTTTCTCCCTTTCCACCTTCCAAAATGGAGAAGCGTTTTATACAAAAGAGAAAGACTCTTGCGAGGAAGAGGAGAAGGAGAAAAAGAAAGAAGAGGACAAGAAACTGTACCACTGACCTTTGCTCCATCTCTTCCTGGTGCACCTGGAGGACCCTAGAAGATGAAATTGCATTCCTCAAAAACTTGGTATCAGTAAGATCAGGAGACTACACACAGTTAAGAATGGAGATATTATACTGACCACAGGCCCTCTTCTGCCCTGTTTAATGTGAGACAGGTCTGGAGCTGGTCCCATCGGCCCCATGGCTCCTCTAGGGCCTGGTACCCCTGGAGGACCAGGGGATCCAGGAAATCCAGGGCTCCCTTTTGGACCCGCAACACCTGGAATAGAAACAATACAGTACAGTTAAGACTGCTAGTAGCTTCCTTGGACAATTTTGCATAAAAAGGGTATTTATGGTTGTTCTAAGTCAAGAATTGGAAGAAGTAGTTTCAGGGCTGTTGACAAGGTTTTTAAAAAATTACAAATACATCAACCATGGGGGGGAAAAAAAACCTAGCTAGTAAACAAAAGAAGAATCAACAGCAATTAAAAGTACTCCAGAAGTGCTTTAAAAGCCAAGTGAAGAAAAACAGCTTTTTTCATAGTGCCAAGAAAATCTGGATGTATTTCACACTACTGTTATATAACTTGATGAACTAGAAGTCCAGGATACAATCCCTACTAAAAAAGAAATGAAATTCAAATAATGCATCACTCTGAGCAGCAGTTTTCTGCCCAGGGACACTGTCAGACATTAAGCACAGAATGCTCACAAGAGACCTATTTGTAAGTGGAAGTGAAAGGCCAGCCTGGCTATGAAAAGATCTCCTTTAGACTAAGGCAGTGTTTCTCAAACTTGGCAACTTTAAGATGAGTGGACTTCAACTCCCAGAACTCCCCAGCCAGCATGGGGAAGTCCACTCTGGGAGTTGAAGTCGACTCATCTTAAAGTTGCTAAGGTTGAGGAACACTGGGCTAAGGAGAAAGGCAGGGAGATGGCCCATAAAAGCATGTTCTGAATTCCCAATGCGGAAAATGAACTTGGAGGCAAAATTGCTTCCATGTTAATGTCTCCCTTCCCAGATCAAAGCCCATAGATTTAGCACAAACCAAGTGCATTTTGCCTTGACACTGACAATATCTGCCATGTTCAAAATTAACATCGTTCACACTGCTCCATTATGTTGTGAGTTTAATATTCAAAGTTTGGTTGAATGGAGACTGACTAGCAGTCTTGTATCCAAATAGTTGCTAATGTTATGTATTTTTTTTTTTTTCCTGAATGTACTTGTCATAGTCCCCCTCAAGTCCTGTTGTGCTGCCGCATCGTGGCGGTTGAGTGTTCCTGGAAGGGATGAGCAAAGCATGTCAGGAGCGTATGCCAAGAGTATATATTCCCAGCAGGGTCACCCAAGGGATGAAGGTCATTCCAGCTGCCCAGCTAAAGCAAGCAGGCACCTATATTGGGGAGCAGTGATACAGGAAGATGCCAGAGGCAGATGATGAGCTGAGTGACAATGGCAAAGGCACCAATTCATACTGCGCAGGAGAAAAAAACCACTCCTGTATTTTTACCAAGAAAACCACATGGATAGAAAATATAAGATGATTGACGATGTAGTGCTGGATGGTGGGCCCCTCAGGTCGGATGGCACTCAACATGCTACTGAGGAAGAGCTGAGGATCTTTCGGAGTACTAACAGTGTTTATGACATGGCTAGATTAAAACTTTCGGGATGTCTAGTTGCTGGTGTTGCCATACAGGAAAAGAAAACCAGAAGCTGCAAAGATAGAATTACAGTAGGAACATGGAATGTAAGAAGCATGAACACGAGAAAGCTCAACACAGTGAAAGGAGAAATGAAACAGCTACAAATTGACATTTTAGGCATCAGCAAATTGAGATGGACTGGAGTTGGACACCTTCAGTCAGAAGATCACACTGTTTATTATGCAGGACATGAAAAACAAGCTAGAAACATGTTGTTTTTATAGTTAGGAAGGTTATAGCAAGAACACTACTTGGCTACAATGCAATCAATGACCAAATAATATCAATTAGACTTTGTGGACAACCCTTTAATATGATGATCATTCATGTTTATGCTCCAACCACTGATGCTAAGAAGAGGAGGTTGATGACTTCTATAATCAAGTTCAATTTGAAACTGACAGAACATGCAAGCAAGATTGCTGCTTGTGACTGGAGACTGGAATGCCAAAATTGGAAACATGAAAGAGGAAAATGTAGTTGGATTGTGTAATGGAATGTGAAAATGACCTTGGAAGATGGGGGGAAGAGATGCTGCCTAGGGAATGATCAGATGAAAGGGGAGGAGTAACAGGTAGAGAAAGAAGCTTAGAAAGGATCTGTCCTAACTGATCAAGCAGTTAAAAGGGACAGCAGGAGATTTGTACTTTCAGACTTGCAAGATTCTGTTAATGTAGCCTAACAATAAAGTAGAAGTAGCTCATCTGGTTGTGTTTCCTCTCTGGTTTACCTGGGAGGGCTGACAGATTGTATGGCTTAGGAAACTGAAATGGAGCAGGAGATCAACTTATCAATTTCTGCCACTCCAATGATTTTTTCATAGCTAACATTGTCTTCAAACAACCAAAACAATGCCTCTGTACAAATATCACCAGATGGAGTATATAGAAATCAAATTGATTATTGATAAAAGTTGGTGGAGGAGCTCAATTATAGCATCAAAGACATGGCTGGGTGCTGACTGTGGAACTGATCATGAACTGCTGATGTACAAGCTCCAAGTTAAGCTAAAGAAGAAGAAGAAAGCCAGTCAGTTTCCATGATATGATATTGAACATACACCCACCATTTTCAACAAGAACATCAGGAATCACTTTGAAGTCCTGAACCTCATTGACAGAGAACCAGAGGAATTATGGAATGAACTTAAAGAAGTCATTAAGGATGAATGTGAAAAGAGACTGCCAAAAATGAAGAAAAAGAAGAAAGCAAACTGGATGTCAGAACAAACTGTGGAAATTGCCAAGAAGAGAAAAGAAGCAAAAATGAAGAAAAAGAAGAAAGCAAACTGGATGTCAGAACAAACTGTGGAAATTGCCAAGAAGAGAAAAGAAGCCAAAGCCAAGAGAGACAAAAACCTCAGAAAGGAACTTAACAAAGAGTTTAGGAGAGCCATTAGAAGAAACAAGCAGCAGTATTATAACAATATCTGTAAAGACATCGAAGATGGAAACAGACATGGAAAAACAAGAAAAGTCTTTCAAAAGATCTTCTGAGAGCCAGTTTGGTCTAGTGGTTAAGGCTCCAGGCTAGAAACCAGGAGACTGTGAATTCTGGTCCCACCTTAGGCATGAAAGCTGGCTGGGTGACCTTGGGCCTGTCATTCTCTCTCAGCACAACTCACCTCACAGGGTTGTTGTTGTGGGGAAAATGGTGGGAAGGCGTATTAGGTATGTTCACCACCTTGAGCTATTTATAAAAAATAATAAAGGTGAGATAAATTTTTTTAAAAAAACCTCAGAAGGAGGTTCCAACTTCAAATTGGTATGCCAAAGGACTCCAACTGACAGATAGTAATTGATTCAAAGGAGATCAAAGAAAGATGGAAGGAGTATACTGAAACACTATACAGTAGAGATGTCAACACCCACGATACCTTAGAAATATTCCTTACTTACAAGAACCTTTTGACTAGAAGATGAAGTTAGATCAGCACCAAATTGGAAGGCTACAGGAACTGATGGAATACCCACTGAAATATAGCATATTTCTGTTGAAATATTTCAACAGAAGAATCAGTTGAGGTTTTAACCAAGCTGTGCCAGCAAATCTGGAGAATAGCACAGTGGTCAACTGTGGAAGAGGTCAATCTAAATTCCAATACCAAAAAAAGGAGACTTAACAGAGTGTGCAAACTATCTCACAATATCCTTAATTTCTCATGCTAGTAAAATAATGCTTAGTATCAACCAATGCAGATTAGAGCCTACATGGAAAAAGAGATGGCAGATGTTCAAGCTGGCTTTAGAAAAGGCCGAGGAACATGAGACATTATTGCTGATGCATGCTGGGTAATTGAGAAAGCCAAAGAATACCAAAAATAAGTCGGTATGTGCTTAATCAATTATGGAAAAGCCTTTGATTGTATCAAACATGTCAAGCTGTGGAAAGTGCTCAGAAAAATGGGAATCTCAGAACATCATGGAAAAAGAGATGGCAGATGTTCAAGCTGGCTTTAGAAAAGGCCGAGGAACATGAGACATTATTGCTGATGCATGCTGGGTAATTGAGAAAGCCAAAGAATACCAAAAATAAGTCGGTATGTGCTTCATCAATTATGGAAAAGCCTTTGATTGTATCAAACATGTCAAGCTGTGGAAAGTGCTCAGAAAAATGGGAATCTCAGAACATCTCATTGTCCTCATGAGAATCTTATATTCAGGTCAGGAAGCCACAGTCCAAACAGAACATGGCAAAACAGACTGGCTCCAGGTTGGTAAATGAGTACAACAAGGCTGCATACTGTCCCCTTATTTATTCAACCTATATGTGGAATATATATTAAGGGAAGCTGGATTGGAACAAGATGAGTGTGGTTTTAAAACTGGAGGAAGAAGCATTAATAACCTGCGCTATGCTGATGACAATATTCTGATAGCTGAAAATGCAAAGGATTTGCAAGCCCTAGTACTAAAAGTCAAAGAGCACAGTGAAAAAATGGGAGTAGAAGACCAAACTAATGACAAGTAGAACAATCAGCCTTACAATTGACAATGAAGATAATGAAGTGGTGATTAGCTTCTGCCTTTTAGGATCAATTATCAACAGTAAAGGAACAAGAAGTCAAGAAATACACTGCAGACTAGCACTTGGTAGAGCAACCATGAAGGCCTTATTCAAATGCCGTGATGTGTCTATACGAACAAAGATCAGAATCATGCAAGCTGTGGTATTCCTTGTGACACTCTATGGAAGCAAAAGTTGGACTTTAAAGAAGCAGAACAGGAAGAGTATTGACGTCTTTGAACTTTGGGGTTGGAGAAGACTCCTGAGAATACCATGGACAGCCAAGAAAACAAGCCAATGGATTATCCAACTAATCAATCCAGAATTCTCACTCGAGGCACAAATAACACAGCTCTCTGGAAAAGACTCTAATACTGGGAAAGGTGGAAGGAAAGGGAAGAAGAGGACAATCAGCAGTGAGATGGATGGACTCAGTTACGGTGGCGATGAACGTACCATTGGAAGTCCTGAAAGCCCAGGTTAGTGATAGATCATCATGGAGAAAATCTATCAGTGTAGTCACCAAGAGTCAACATCAACTTGATGGCACATAACCAATCAACCAGTTTGTCACATATAGTAGAAATAGCAGCGTTTTGTTTTTGTACTTGTAGTAGCTTTAATGTGTTATTCAGTTTTTGGTGTTGTAATACATATTGGTGTAATACAAAGTATAAACTAACATGTGGCAGTTATAGAATCAGCAGCAAAGAATGTAATTCACAAGCAAATAAATAAATTAGACAGCACATTATACTACATAACACTAACATGAACTGGAGTTGCAGGTCCCAAATATCAAGTTTGGGGAGGGCTCATCAATGATAAAATAATAGTAATTTAAATAGTGATTTAATGCTCACTTAAACAAATTGCAATAAAACTGCAAGTAGAAAAGTCTTCCAAGCTGAGATTTTCATGGAAAATTCCCAGTCCATTTCTTATTTCTTTGCCATTCCCAATCTTGAGTTTACTAATCATGCAAAAACAGCACAACTTGGGAGTGGATGGTTTTCAGTTAGGAGAGAGAAGTGAATTTACAGCACCTTGGACAGCTCATGAGATGGGAAAATCATCGGATGGAGCAAGCCTAAGTGATCCTGACAATATCTTAAGAAAAATTAATGTTTGCTCCTGATCCATGCTTTTTGTCTGAGGACTGATACAGATGCAATATATACAACTTAATTTTTATGACGCTTTTAAATGTAGGAATTATTTTATTGCCTTACCTGGAGGACCTCGATCCCCTGGCTGTCCAGGAGGGCCAGGTATATAAGCATTGGATGCAAGTACCTTTTCTCCTGTGATTGGCTTGCTAAGGTCAACAGCATTATTTGGTAGCCAAGCAACCTGCAATAAGTGAAGTGTCATAAACCAGAAGCCACTTACATATTCAACTTCATCTAGTTGAATGGCTGACTTCACTGAGCAGTATAAATTCTTTATCTCAATGTACGACTCAGCTACCATGTCCGTAACTCTGAGCTCAGAAAGCTTCAGAGTGTGATAGAATGGATAGCATGCCAGGCTGAGATAGGGAGCACCATCTGCTTTTCATGCTTTCTCCCTTTACTGAATAAAATGGGATACCCTCCATGTTTTCTGCCTTGCATAACTTGAAGGAATCATGTACTGTAAATGTAACTGAAAAAGCAACACAATTGTATTAATAGCCTATAATTACTATGTTCAGATTCAGTTTGCAGCTGAGGAACAAAGTCAGACTAGATTTGATTTCTGTCATGTAGCTTAGCATAGTGTAGCTTCCCGCCGCCCCCCCCCCCAAAAGCTGCTATATAGGAGGCCTCAGCTAGACTAGTACCTTGACTTGAAACAAGAGGGATTCAACACTCTGGCACTTCTACAATCATAGTCACAACTGTGATCTACTGTTTGCAAAGGGGGAAAAAACTGTTGATGTCAAGTCTGACACACTGAAGGATTTACACTTATTGATGGATTTGAAAACAGAAAAAGAAAGTAAGACTTAGTATGAAGGGCAAAGTCAGATTTAGATGCTGCCTTGTACCCACACTATGTACACAGTTGGTTAAGCTCTACAGCTGAGGTGCTACCCAAGTCTCTCATCAGGGACAAACAGCCCAATACCTTGCAAATATTCTGAAAGGCAACATCCACAATCCTTTATTATTGGTCATACGGACTGAAGCTGATGAGATCTGAAGTTAGACACCTGCTTGTTCTTCTGCCCTGAACTGCTTAATGAAGCACCCAAGACTGAACCTGGAGCCACTGACATTCAAGAGCTGTGCTCTACTGATAAGCCAAAGAAGGTTTTCACTTCTAAAGGTCAGACTCCATACAGTGAGAAAACTCTTTCTTTCTCAGATGAGTAGATGGGCTATTTTAACTGTATATCTAAGACAACATTAAGTATTTCTATTAAAGGATAGGCAGAGGCCAGCCTGCTATGGCAACCTGATTTTGAAGCACAGATCATGTGGGTTGGCCCACCCACTCTCCAATGTGCTCACTTGCCACTCTCTTCCGGAAGAATCACCGACCTCTTCTGGATTTCAGCACTAACTATTCTGCTTTTGATGTGGAGTCTTCTTATCATCCTGCCAGATGCTAATGCACACTGACCTAATTTCTATTCCATTCCACTGTCTTGATTCAGTCTTGGAATCACAAGTTGAGAATGACCTCAGCCTTACTTCATGCACGAATCTTTCCCCACAAGAATGTAAATACTTGCATAGAATCCTATCCAAAGGGGCAACAGTCACGGAGATGAATTCTAAACCTTGCTGAAACCTACATTTCATGTTGTAATTGTGAAGAGGTTCCATGCAGAAATGATTGCTGAGTTGGCTTGGAGATGGACTGGCTAGGTCCAGTCTAGGACTTTCTTCTAATTAAATGCATACTTGCTTGTATCTGAGTAAGCACATATGCATACAGAATATTTGCACACATGGAATTGTTTGTATGCCTGGACTGTCTGTTATTTATTTCTTTTGGCAAAAGCATCCTTCTGACTAGTTTTGCAATTCTGTCAAGGGGATAGGGTAGAAGATTAAACCAGAAGTTTCTGAAAAATGTCTATGTCCAGGAAAGTTTTTCTGGCAAGGCTGCCCCAAATCCTAAGTGTTGCAGAGAATTCCAGGGGATAATTTAGGATCAGTTCATGCCTGATATTCCTCAGGATGTTTGGATTTTACTATCATGTACTGAAAACACAGATTGCAATTTGGAAAGCATGTCCAACCCTAGCTTTGGTAAAAATGGTCCAATGTATAACCGTCTGTCATTGCTGCCTTCCAGAACTGGAATTTATAATACTGAAATCTTCAAGAATTTATTATAAATCACCAGAACAATCATATCATTAATTGAGCCAATGTTTCATTTTACCACCCAATTTGTGTTTAAGGATTGCTAGCTGCAATTTTCTCTCCCACCCAATAATGTCCTAGATGCAACACTGAAATGCTGCTTTCATAAATTTCATGAGGCCTGTCAAGTCTGTCCTATTTTCCTCAGAATGCCCCACAAACATCTTAGGAATCTGGGGAGAAGTGAAAAGAAGAGGTAAAACACCCAAACTTTCTGAGTCAGTTCACTATCTGCAATTGGCTTTCAGTGGCAATCTCTTTTTGCCTGTAATGGTATGTGGGAATGACTTTGGGAGACAGAAGGAAGAGTCTTGTCTAGGCAATGGTCTGATAAACAAAATCTGGGCCTGAAAAAGGAGGGGTGGTGAAAGTGTCTCAGAAGGGACTCTTAGTTTTTCGGAGAGTAAAGGTGAGGGACGGGAGGGGTACTTTCAACTTGCAAGACTCTGTTAATGTAATCTTACAATACAGATAGAACTGGTACTCCTGGTTGTGCTTCTTGTCTGGTCTACCTTGCAAGGCTAACATTGCCATTCCTTCCTAAATGTCATGCTCGGAGTTTTAACTTTCAGATTTTCAGCTTGTCCTTATAGTATATTATGAGATTCAAAGTAATATTGCCCTGCAAGAGATAAATGTCAATAACCTCTTATTTATTATTGCATTTTTATCCTTTCTGTCCTCTTGGAAGCTCAGGTGGCCTACATGGGGGGCTCCTCTGATATCACCATAACGATTGACAACAGTGTGAATTAATTGGGCTCAGAGAGAATGGCTGGCCTATAATCAGGAGATACTTGAAGCTGTGCTACCTCAGTCTAAGGAAGACCAACATTAACTCTTAGTCTACCCACTCCCAAGCAAAAACTCATTGCATCCTTCAGGCACCTTGGCTTCCATATGGATTTTCTTCATGGAAGAAAGGAAGAAAGAAGCAAGCTTAGGAAATATGCTTGCATAAAGCCACTGTGCTTTTTCCTTGCAACAGCAATGGTCCAGAGATAATGATGAACACTCTCATTAAAAATTCAACTATAACAAATCAATTTGACCCTGTGGGGCCACATGACATGTTTCCTTCAATGTGGAAGATATAAACACACATTCAAGTGACTTTTGTGAAAGCAGCCATTCAAATGGAAGAGATCCTTTAAATTGTCTGGCTCCATCCCAAACCAGACCATCTATGCTATCTACCCTTCCATCAAGTGAAATGGCAATGGGTGATGTGTCTCCAAGAAAATATACTGAACTCCACAATCTATTCAAGCAATTAAATTCCCCTGCCAATTCCTCTTCTTTCTCAATACCTATGATTTCAATATTTGGGGCAAATCTGATGCATTTCTTAAATGTACCTTTTGTTTCAGTTGCAGGACCGTCTGTTTGATCTGGTGGAATTCTCTGCAGGAAGCACAGCACGCTCCAGGTTTCACCACATTGTCCACCTTCTCAGAAAAGCCTGCTTTAAAAAAAAAGTGGGAGGGAAGGAGAGCAAGGCCCAGTGTTTCAGTACAACCTTCTTCTTCTTCTTCTCTGAATAGAGATGAAAACAGAAAGAGGGCAGAAAAATGCCAAAGAATGCTGTGTAGAGATGAGCCTTTTAAAAATTCCTTCTTGATCATTCCGTGAGAAGTAAAAGTGCCCTCTGTATTAACAGCCTTTTCCATGAATCCTCATGAATGCCTGGAGAGCTGCAAACAGACTTAGCAGCAGCTGTTTCCAGTTAGCAAGTCTTAATGCCTCTTAGAAAACTCCTTTTATATCTTAGGAGAAAAAAGGGTGTACTTCTCCACTTTTATCTAAATCTTTACTGTACATGAAATGTAAAGACCCACAATGATTTATCAGCTCCCATTAAGAGGGCAACTTTCATATGCCATAAATTGTGCCAGTATCCCATGCATGGAGAATTGCCTGAAATTCACACAAATGCAATTCTTACTGTCACCAATTATATTAGCTGTGCAAATGTGATTCCCAGGAGCAGAGATAGAGGGCAACAGTGGAGAGCAAAAAAGGAACTCTACAATCAATCTGACACTTCCAGTTATGTATCAAGTCCTTTCTAAGGAAAACAAGAACCCCTAGTGTTGCACTTTCCATCCTGAAAGAGCAAACTTTTTGTTCTGCCCCCCATAACTTACGCATCTTTAGCAATTATGCTAACTACTATACATATCTGTTTGAATGCATTCTACTGCAGTTGTATAACAATGCTCAATTAGAAATCTATGATGCATTAACAATTAAAAAGAAATACAGACCAAATTTGTAATTGCTGGTGGAATCTGTCACATGTCAGCTACAGAATGCTGACAACGTCTGCTTATTTTGCATCCAGTGGCAGAAAGGTGAACAGATAGCCCATAAGTGAACACGTCATTTACGTCTTTTGTTTCAAAAAAATCATTCCATGGTATGGGAGAAAAGGAAACTCCTGCTTCACTTCTTATCTTTTCCCAAGTCAAAGTTGCTTATACACTTTAAAGTCAGTTTCTATAAACTGAAGGGATTAGAAACTTAGAAAGATAAAAACTGAGATTTTACAGAAGTTGAGGTCTGGCTCCATGATCAAGGTATTTATAATAATACTTTGTAATTACAGTAATAGAAAATACACAATCCTTCTACATAGACTTAATACAAGATGCAGTTAGATCCTTCAGTTGATTTCAAGCCAGCTGATCTCTTGAATAGCCTTAATGGGATCTTAATCGCAAATAAGTGTAAGTAACTGGGAATCTGGAAGTTATAACCCCAGCACATTTGGATGGTGCCACTTGAAAAGGCAGAAGTGTAGGCTTATAGCTCTTCATTGTCCTCTCCAACATGGTTTCCTAGAGAGATAGGCCACTGACCAGTATAGCCAGCCTGTTTCTAAACCTGGATGCATAATGATGGGTTCCAGAATCTCAATAAAATTGAACACTGAGATTCTAAGGACGCTTAATTCTACAGCACACTTTATAGAAGAGTGGAAAACAAGCAAACTGAATTGCATAGTAGCTACCTAACTTTTAAGATATGTCATCTCTAATGTGATAGCTGCAACTGTTATTCTGACATTATAGAAAGCTGGTATCATAGGTCAGTAAAGCCATTTTCTCTAGTTTTCTTGAAAGCAAAGCTTATGCTCACTCACAGAGGGTGAAAGAAAAGAAAAGAAAAAAAGAAAAGAAAAGAAAAGAAAAGAGCTGGAGTAGCAGAGATCTTGCTGGGGAATTATTTCTATTTTATGGTTCCTCTGGCATGCCATATTCTTTTCTTCAAGGAATAATGGGTATTTCACTATATGTTAACCATTGGTTTGAGTCTGCATGACTTTGTCTGCAGTTAGGAAGAGCTAACGGCAAATAGAAATTACAGGTTGCAGTTGTGTTGTTATCCACAATCTTATCTATGGCCTGGTTTGGATGCTATAATAAGTCAAACTAAAATTTGGCTTAATGGGTAAATAATGTCTGCAGTGGTGTCTACAGCAAAATGCGATGACACCAAAAAGACATGTCCGGAGTGACATAACTATGCAAACACCACCATTGCATATTTGCATGCCGGTATTTGATGCAATTAAATAAATCATGAATTTGCATGATGATGCCATCACACATATTTCATCATCTGCCCCTTCTTATGTCTCCTAAGGGTGCCCATGACAATTAGTATGTTGTCATAAGAAGTTCCAGCCTTTGATGTCAACTTGTAGTTCCATTCTAGTTAGGAAGCTAATGAGCCCAGTTGTTGAGGCTGTTAAGTGAATTCTGTTTGGGGAGGGGCAGTAAATTACATGTCATAAACCTTGAAACCTTAATTTTGTCTCACTTATTTTGGCAGTTGCTGCCAGAAGGTAGTTCATAATGCATTCTTGTTCATGGGAGGTGATTACATTTATCATCTGTCTTGTATTAGCTACACTGTGTCTTCATTTGATGATGGACTGTGCTCTATTGTCTGGATAACATGGAAGAGGATTCCTTTCTTGTCCTCCAAAACTTGACAACCTTTCTGAAGCCCAAGAAAGGCAAACAACTTTAATTCTATAAATAGGAATTCATTGGCAGATCTGCCTGAATACAGCAAGATTGCAATATGAGGCAGATATTCTTCATAGGTTTTTAGAATGCTTTTAGAATAGGTTTATAGTTTTCCCAAAGATAGATACTTAGATCTGCCACTAGGTGGTACTCAAAGTAGACTGTTCCAAACAATAGATGTATGAACTGGAGGGTAACTATATTTTTATACTATACCATGTGCTGGTTTGAAATTCCAGCTACAAACAATTAATAATTTATTGATTTTTTTCCTCCAGTTTATTCCATGCAGGCTGCCTCAGTTATTCCTTGTTTTTATCCTTGATGTGCTTCTACATGAAGCTTTCATCATCAAATCAACCTGCCTCAGTTCACAGAAGATCCAGATGATGTTCCTTGTCCACCTCCCTCAACTTTTCTCTTTCCATCAAATAAGCTCCATCAAGGAAGAAAAGATGCACTGTGCTGAAAACCACAGGCAAAGCTCACCACCATGAGGAATCTGATCATAGTGTATTTGAAGTCTTTCCTTCAAGGAGAGCTGCATAGCAAAATTCCAGAGCTGTTTCAGTTTAAAGTAGAGCCCCAAACCAGGAGTGGATCAATGCCCCTCATTGTAGGTTTTGTTCACTGGTTCAGTTGCTTCCAACTTTGGACCTGATGGACTTTGTTCCAGTAGAAGTGTCTTCCTGTAGCTGCTTTTTTGAGAAATTGTGCTTCTCGCTGTGTCATCAGTGGCCATAGTTAGCCCACTCGCTTCTCCTTAGAACTACTTACTCTTCAAGGGTTGGAGGCTAGGTGGTTGAGATCTCTGCAGACATACTCTATCTGGGGCTACCTCCAGAAATTTCAATTGTTACACCACACAATGGTCAGGCTGTTAACCAGTGCAAAGTATCAGGATCATGAGGTGTGTGTGCTGAAAGATTTGCACTGGCTGCCAGTTGTTTACTGGGTACAATTTATGGTATTGTTTTTTATTTTTAAGGTTCTAAAAGGTATGACTAAGGACTATTTCTCCTGTTTTGAATCTGTCAAGCTGTTAAGAGCCCTGTCTTTCAGGCACAGGGTAAAAGGATTACCTGCATTGCACACAAGCTATGAAATGCTGTCCCTCAGGAGCTGTGCTTGGTCTCCACTTCCTCAATGCTTGGCAAATACGCAAAGATGCATCTCTTTTGCTAGACTTTTAATTGTTCAGTACCTCTTTTATTGTTATTTATAATCTGTGTTTTTAACTTTTTTATATTGTTTTGTTGGCCACCTCAATTGCTTATCAGTCTAAAATACTGGGAGGGTGAGGGGTGGGGGGGCTATCAATCAATAAATGAATCCCTAAAGTCAGAGGATCTAAGCAGACCAACAGAATTCTTTATTCATCATAGTTACTCCTCCTTATTATGACTGCAGAATCAGAGTGAAGTATAAAAGGCAAACAAATTGGAGGGACAATAATTCAGTGGCAGGAGAGTGTGCTTTGCGTGTAGAAGTCCTAGGATGTCTAGTTAAAAGGACTATAACATCTGAATTGCTACCAGCAAGAATGGAGAATGATGAATGAGAAAGGCCACCTGCTCGAACTTTGTATGGGCCAATATTATCTGCACATTTGCATAATTTATGACTTTAAGGCTTTGCATTATTTCTCCTATTTTAATAGAAGGGTTGTAGAAGAAATAGCAAGGAGAGAGCAAATTCTCTCTTTATGAAAATAATAAGCAATTTTCAGAACTGGACAATCTCAGTATGAGACTTCAGACTGTCAAAAGTTCATCTCCAAAATGTCAGCAAGAATCTGTTTCTCTATGTTCATGTGACTTGCTAAGTGAAGTGTTGATAGCGCTACAATATTTGACATGGAAAAAAATTGGATGAGTACTAGATGGCAGGAGAGTTAAAGGTGTTTTTTTTGCCTCTCTTTGTGTATACTTTTCTAACTGGATGCCCTCCAGATGTGTTATCTTCTATTCCTATAATCCATGGTAGCTGGGGATGACTCTTGATGACCAGTGATTAATAACTTAAGTTCAACACATCTGGAGAGAATCAAGTTGTAGAAGGCAGGTACTGATACTTTATAGTTAAACAGTTTTAAACCCTCTAGAACAGGGGTACAGAACTGTAGCCCTGTAAGACTTGCTGAACTACCTCTCCCAACATCATTTGCACAGGCATGTTGGTGAGGAATATTCAGGGTGATCTTAACAAAACATTCTTTTGAGCATGGTCATCTGGTCTGAAGCTTACATGAAATTTATCTGAATAACTTCTATGTCCACATAGAACTGGTCTAGTACAATTTAGATGACTTGATATACCTTTATCTCCTTTGGTGCATACTTTCCCATCATCTTCACGTATGTATCCTTCATGACATTCACACCGATAGCTACCAAGAGTATTTACACAGATGTGAGGGCAGAGAGGCTCACTGCTTGTGGCACACTCATCAATATCTGAAAGGAAACATATGTGAGCATTAAGGAAATGAAATGATCAAAAGTAAATATAACCTATAATCTTTGTGTTCTTTGCACCGGATTTGGAGTGAGACCATAGCTCAGGAGTAGAACATATGCATTGTATAGGAAAGTCCCAAGTTATTTTCCACTACAGGCTTATCTAATCAGATGTCCTTCCAGTATGGTATAAATGAATTTAGAGCTGATCTTGGGGAAGGTATGAGTGAGCCATTAAGGGAGGAAGGAAAGAGCAAGCCATTAAGGAGAGACTTGGATAAATGATTGCACAGTTAAGACATTGAAACAAGTGTGAGAAAGAAATTCAAAATAACCTCATCTTGATTTTATTTACTGTAAGATGGGACAGAGAGAAACTTGGGCAGGCTTTCAAGATTCTATTATTCTACTCTTCAACAATAAAGCAGCATTCCTGGAATCCCTGCAGTGTCTGTTTCTTGACCTGGCCTACCTGGAAGGGCAGACATATAGTTGTTGAACACATCTGAAGGGTACCAGGTTGGGGAAAACTATAGTATATCATAGGAGTGTTCATTTTTTGAAAATGATAGAAAACAGGTGCTTTGGAATGCACAGGAGCACAAGCACAATGGCTCTTGAAAGCAGTTGCATCTTTTCACGCTTCTATGCAAGCTTAAAAAAATTATGCAGCTGTGTTAATAAGGCAATTAAAGATGCAGTACTGTAATGAGTTTACATATTAATGTAGTGGTTTATTTTATCAGGCTTATACACAAGCATAAAAAAATGGCAAAGCTGCTTTCAAGAGGTGCTATAATTGTGCTAGCTGAAAATGTAAATGATGTGCAAGCTCTAGTAATGAAAATCAAAGAGCACAGTGAAAAAATGGGACTAAGATTAAATATAAAGAACACCAAACTAATGAGAAAAGATACTGCAACCAGCCTTAGAACTGACAATGAAAATATTGAAGTGGTGGATAGCTTCTGCCTTTAAGGATCAGGAACAGGAACAGTCAAGAAATATACCATAGACCGGTAGAGTAGCCATGAAGGTCTTGGAAAATATATTCTGATGGTATGATGTGTCTGTACCTACAAAGATCAGAACTGTGCAGACAATAGTTTTCCTTGTGACACTCAATGGAGGCAAAAGGTGGAAGCAGGATAGAAAGAATATTAAAGCTTTTGAACATTGGTGTTGGAGAAGACTCTTGACAATACAATGGATACCCAAGGGGTAAAAAAGGATCAATGAACAAATCAACCCAGAATTTGGCTCAAAACACAAATGATCAGGCTTAAATTATCCCAGTATGGACACATTATGTGAAGACCTACCTCTCAGAAGAAATTTATAATGCTGGGAAAGGTGGAAGGAAAGACAAAAGAAGGACATCTGGCCAACTGGCTCAACTGAACTACAATGGCAAATGGATGCACCACTGGAAGACCTGAAGGACCAGGGTTAGGTCAGATTGTCAAGGAAAAAATCTATTTATGTGGTTACTAAGAGTCTACACCAACTTGGTGGCACATAATCAGTCCATCCATCAATCATGTTTGTGCTCCAACACATCTCAAAGTACCCTTTCTGATTCTTTTTGCATACATTCATAGTCCTAGTAGATAATTAGAATTATGCTGCCTGATACGTGGAAGAGGTGCTGTCAGTCAGATTAAATAACATTTAGTTAGATGGACAAATAGACTAATTACTAAAAGACATTTTCTATAATCATGGACAGGACACATTTAAGAACCACTTTAATAATAAAGTTCTCGCTTTATGGAAGAAAGCAGAGAAACCAAGTCTGTACCATCCTTTTATTTATTAAATTCCCATGCACTTTATTTGCAATGTTCTTTCCAACAACCTATAATAATTGTTAAAAAACCTATTTGCTTTAAAGCATTAGCAGAAATAATAACAATAAAATTAAGGCAACATCATTAGCGCAGCAAAGAAATTATGTAGTCACGGGTAGGTCTTTCATAATAGTAGTAGATGTGCTCTGCATGTAGAAAATTCCAGTTCAGTAGCCAGTAAAGAATTACATATATTTCTGTTGGAGAAGACTATTTGCAAGCCCAATGGATAGCATTGACTCAGGAGCACCAATGGCCTGATCTTTATAAAGGCACAATAAGTATAATTGAATACAAATAAACACTTGTCCCAAATAATTCTTTTCATTATTTGTATAAACATGCACCTATTTTAAAACTCTGTGAGACCTCAGATGCAATTCTATTGACTTAGGAGTAAGTTCTATTAGCTGAACAAGGCTTATGTCTAAATTGCTTTGCACTACCAGTATGTTGGGTTCAATATTAGATGGAAAATCTCTAGCCTGTAGATTTAATCCAATTTTCCAGGCCAGACAGCCTAGATCATGGGGCTTCAAGTGAAGCTCCATCCCATAACTCTAATCCTTGCTTCCCATGAATAGATTGAAGAAATCACCTGCAGTCAGGAATCCAGACGCAACCTTGTACTTTCTGCAAATGCATACAGCAGACAAACTGCTCCTAGAGCAATGTTTCTCAACCTTGACAGCTTGAAGATGGGTGGACTTCAATTCCCAGAATTCCCCAGCCAGCATCGTATACTTCTTCTATTAGGGACAATACAAGGTATCCCCTATCAGGGAAGGCAGGTACTAGAGAAATTGTTCAATGTATGGCAAGAGGGGAATGAGGGATCCCCAGTTCATCTTTCACAGAGAAATTTTCTTGGTGCTGCAGTTCAGAGGGAGCAATGTCTCCCTGTTTCCTACTGTTCAGAGAACTGGGCAATGCCACAGTATGGAGCTCTCATCCTTAATTCCCACACCCTGAGGTTACCTGGCCTGCTGGGACAACAGAAAGTTAGATTTGGTCTGAGGCCAGATCTGGTTCCCTCTCCTTGTGTCCAAGATGTTGGAGAGATAGTGACTGAAGTTCCCACTCAACCACAAAGCTTTCTAAACAACCTTGGGTGAGCTACCAATCAACTTCAAATAATTGCAAGGATAAAAATAATTTTGGATGAGAAGGAATATCATGCATTCTGGTAATGGAATTTATTTCCAGTATGTGTGGTATCATAACCTTAAAAGCTGCTCTGCAAACTCATAATTACCCACTTCTTATACTTCCATTATTTATAAAATACAATTCATAACATAACTGGTTAGGCATCTATTCCAAGATTGAAAGGAAGAATCCCCACTTTTATTTGGTATGCGCTGAATCAAAAGTAAAAACTGTATCTGTAAACAATCCCTATGTGTGGCTCTGACCATACTCTCTGTTGATATGTGGGCCCAACAGGTTTCGATCAAAGACAGACAGACTACAGCAGAAAAATCTTTAGTATTTCAACTTCAGTGGGCAGATAACGAAGGGAAATGCTTGCACAATTTTGCATGTGTATCTGTGAAACCACAATCCAAAATGCCAGAACATTTGGAAAAGAACAGGAAATTCCAGAAGCAATCATGTTCTTCACACAAGCCTTCTATTTTCAACTGATCTCAAGAATGGAGATAGCTCAGGATGTTTTTACTGAATGGCCAGAGGACAAGATGGTATCTCTCCAATTCCACATACAGAACCAAACTAGACTGACAGCTGATTTTTTTTTTTAAATGCTGTGATGTGATAAACATCTTTTCTGCACTGGGGAGCAGACCCACTTACAGGGTTCAGGACACAATCCACAGCATTCTGTCCTACAACACAGGGAATTCAGAGAGACTTCCCAGGACATATCTGCAGCAGTTGCCTCAATATACATTTTGGTAGAACCATCTCTATTCAGAAATGTATAAATTATAGGCAACTAAATTCACACTCACATGTACTGTATGGAAAAGCATGAGAACAGCATTTCATCAGTTAAATTATTATAAATCTAAATGTTGTTATTTTTAGATGCATTTTGACTGCAATCCTTTGCACCCACCTAAGCAATAGGGTTTTTCTCGGTTCCTGTGTCTTTCACGATCATACCGGTAACCAGGGTAGCATGTACATAGGACTCGACCGAAGTTATCCGTGCACTGCTGTTCACAAGGAGCATCTGCACACACATCATAGTCTAAAGAGAGGGAGAATATGACTGAAGTTAGTTGCTGTCCAATACTGCAGGAGCAATGAAATATTAATATGTGTTCTATCTTTATGTATTAATGTACAGTAGTTCTATTCAAAATTACTCATCATGGAAGGGTAGCAAACCATTAGACTAACTATACTTGATAAAGAACTATCTAAATAAACAGAAAAAGACAAAGGTATTTTTCAATTGCATCCCTTTTTTGAAGAAGTTCTCTGAAGAAGTTATCTCTGAAGAATATACCTGTATGAAAGTTATATGCATAAGTAAAAATGGAAAATTATGAACTGGAGAAGGTTAATAATTGCATCTAGTTTGGTCAAAAGAAGGTGTTATGATAGAAGAAATTTTGAACCAGGCTAAAATAAATTGGGGAGCAATTCAAAAACAATCTATCAATATGCTTAAAGACGAAATTGTTTAATCAGCATATACTACTTATGCTGACATTTGGTTGTGAAAATTGGCCATTAAGTGTGAAAGCAGTACAGAAGTTGAAAGTTACTTGGAATGACCAATGCTCAATATGGCATGGCATGGCAAGGCAAGGCAAGGCAAGGCATGGCATGGCAAGGCATATATGGATACACCAAAGATGGGAGTATGTGACATAATGAAGTGGGTAGCCTCATAGAAGTTGTAATGGGCTGAATATTTCACATGACAGTAGATCAATGCAGACAACAACAATCCTCACT